GCAGGAAGCTGGCAGAGGGTGAGGAAGGCAAGGCCCCGCCCCCAGCCTCTGAAAGACAAGGAACGAATGCCAAGGGCTAAGTCAAAAAGTAATGTATTTTTCAGGGCCGCCCAGCCCAGGAGGCTCCTTGACTCAGATGTGGAGAATGCAGGGAAGGGAGGAAGGGGAACAAGGGGGCTGGCACTCAGAGCTTGGGAAAGTTGATAATGAGCAGTCATCTTGGAGACCAGGCTCAGCCATGATGCTAGAAAGCCAGTTCCCAGCCACAGCACAATGAGACATCTGTGGCTCCCGCTGATTCTCACTGGACACTGGCTAGCACTGTGGCCAAACTTACGTCATGGGACTTAAGACTATCAGAGGGCTGGAGTGGAATGTGCGTGTGTACTCTGCAGACCAAACCTGACCGCTTGAGAATACTCAGACAGAAAGGCCAAAAAAAAGTAAGTGAACCTCGCAAAAAGACCTCTGGCCTGGTACAGCTGCACATGCAATCTGCCCAGGCCAGACCATGGAGAAAGGCAAACGTTTGGACATCACACTGGCACAGGCCAAGTACCACCAGTGTCAATAAAAGTGGGTGGGATTTGTTTGAAATCATAGATGTCAACCTCAAGGACTGAGGCTGCAACTCTAGCAGAATAATGCAGTAATGTGTTTTTTTTAAAAAAAAAAAAGCAACCATGGAAATGGAGAGCGCCTCTCTAAGAGCAAACTTGGCTGCCCTTTAAACGGATAATTCCAACTCCAGTTGCTGGAGGAAATTCACACAATCAATCTGGACGAATGTGTTTTATTTACCCATCCTGGGGCACCCATTACTTACATCGAGTGCTGGATTCTTATTCTAAGTATCACCAGATGCTCTTCAAGTCTACTGTATTACAACTGCCAGCTTTTCTCACTACCTAATTAAAGTGTTGATTTTTATAATCTTATAAGTAATTAGGCTCCTGGATGGGCTGTCTCCTTAAATCAGGTGTGTTTTGTCTCTGGAGAAAGTCAGCAGAGGACAGGATTTACTGTGCTGTGAAGGAAAAAGCATTCTTGTGGAAAAGGAAAAGGCATGGCAAATGGCCGTTGCTCTACCGCCCCCTTGTGGTGACCCTCTGGAATAGCCAAGCAGCAGCGGCTCCCAGCCATCCTCCACTAATATTCCAGCTCAACACATGTGACTGTCATTCCTCTTAATAACTTCAAGTAAGACTTCTGGGTATTTTTCATATGTTTGTCCTTAACATTTCCCTCATTCTCATCAATTTGGTTTGACAGTCCCTTTAGGAAGGCATGCAGAAAAAAAGGAGACATTCCAACTTCAGAATGTGAGGCTCTGGCAATGTAAACATTATGATACCAGGCCCTCTCTTCTTGACTCAAAAAGTGACCTCTAGCAACCCATCGCCCCCCACCCCCAACCCTCAGCACCTCTTAAAAAATTCGCATTCATACTGCTACTTCATGTCAAGCCAATGAACCAGATGGAATTAACTAGAGGATTTTTTTAAAACCTCTCTCATTTTAAAATGTTTTTTTCAAATCAATTTCTCTGTAATGTTAGATGTGATGAGTAGGCGGGAAGAAGCCATTGAACATGAGAGGACAATGATTTAGAAAGATACACATACACCCCCTTCATTCCACTAAAACAGAATAAATTTTGTTTTACTATAGAGCCAAGCTTAAGAGAAAAACCTAGAAATTTCCAGGCATCACAGAAACCTCCAAATGTGAAATGTGGCCAGGTGCCCATGGCTTACGCCTGTAATCCTAACTACTCACCAGGCTGAAATCTGAGCGTCATGGTTCAAAGCCAGCCCCAGAAGAAAAGTCTGTGAGACTCTTCAATTAATTGCCAAAAAGGCAGAAGAGCTGTGGATCAAATGGTAGAGTGCAAATAATCTGAGACAACACCCAGGAACCTTTTTTAAGCCCCAGGACCAGCTCAAAGAAAAAACCTGAAATCTGATGCCTAAAAGTGGGCCCAAGGAAGGGAGGACAGATACAGAATGGAGAACATGCTAGAAGCCAAGGACCCCAGTGCTCCCACACCCTACATCGCCACACATGGCCTCCCAACCCAGAGCAGAAGCCAAGGGACTTACCTGAGTGTTCAGGTAACTCGCCTAAGAAAAACAGGATCCCAAGCTTAAGGCTTATACCATAAGCCAAGGAAACACATCACCAGGATGGACCAGGGATGCTCCATCAACTCTGGAGTAGACCAGATGCACCAAAACCCTGCCATGTGACTCTCTCCAGACAGCCTTTGCTGGAGATGCGCTCACAGTCCTAAAAGCCCCAGGAGGAAGAGTTAATGAGTTCCCTAGAACACAAGTATCAGGACTATAAAATCAATGACTGAAGGGTTTGGCTTTATGGTGTTGAGGACTGGACCCAAGCATGTATGTGCCAGTGTACGTGCCAGAGAAGCGGCCTACCACGTAAGCCAAGTACAGACAGTCCTTTTGTTCTGAGCTAGGGCTCTGCCACTGCTTTTCTCCAGCTGGCCTTCACAATGCTTCTGCCTGGATTAAAATAGCACAACCTTAAAGTGGTTTTCAAATAGAAATTTTTTAAAGCACAGGAAAATCTGAAAAAGAATCACAGCCAACTTCAGAAATGAGAAGTAAATGAAGTTAGAAACTGGATCAACCAAGAGCTAGGCAGACTGAAGACAGATTTAGTTGAAATAAATAAGGTATTACTAAGATAGCACAGAGAAAGCTAAGATATTCAATGTAAGGCTAAAGAAATCGCTAAGAACCAAGAATGAGGTGAGATAATTTTCCAAAAAAAAAAAAACAACAACACTTGCATTGGTGGCTCACACCTCGTTACTCAGCAGACTGAGATCTGAGAGTCAAGGTTTGAAGCCAACTGGACAGCAAAGTCCATGTGGCTCTTATCTCCAATTAACCACTAGCCAAAAAAAGAGCTCAAAGTGGAGCTGTGGTTCAAGTGGTTAGAGCTTCAGCCTTGAACAAAAACACTGAGGGACAGTGCCCAGGCCCTGAGTTCAAACCTAAAACATCAACAAAAAATGTACTGAGAATGTTCTTAGTGGAGATATCTTAGTGAAGATGCGAGGAGTGAAAGTTAAATCTTTATCGAAACACAATGGTAAAACCAGAACACAGAAGGCACACAGACAAAAGGTGCTGTGTGTGCTCCAAAATACTTCATCCAACTGTGTTCAGATTTACATGCTGTTTACCTAATAACCACTTACAGAGACACGATTTCAAGACCTTTAATGGCTCAGTGTTTCAGTGGAAATGGATGTAAATGCTGCTCAATTCCAGAAAACACTGAGTTTGTAAACAGATTCAACAAGGTCCTGCTACCCAGCCTGGGACACCCATTACTTAAATGTTGAGTCCTGGATTTTTATTCTAAGTATCACCAGACACTATACAATTCTACTGTATTACAACTGCCAGCTTTGCTCACTGCCTAATTAAAGTGTTGATTTTTATAATAAAGCACCTGCAATATGTTTGATGAAAAGAACCCCATCTTGTGGCAAAACGTTTCACAAACATGGCTCATCAAGACAAATCTGTGTGGAGATGCTATGGTTTTATCTGCTTCGCCAGTCAGGACTCCTGACCTGGCATGTATCTCCTGTCTACGACAGCTCCAGAGCGCACACTTCATCTCTGGAACACAGTCATTTGGGGTTTTGTGAGCTCTTTTCAAGTGAAGCTGGTAGTCTCTGCACAGCTGCTCACTGCAGGAATGTGTAAGAGGACAGCACACACTGGGCCTGAGATCGCCTGTGTCCCAGGCTGGCCTCACACATTCTGCACCAGCCAGAAGACCTGCCTGTGCTAAACAAAACCCAAACCACACTAGCCACCCCCTAATTACCATTACCCAACAGAATACCTTTCATTTCCTACCATTCAGTTATTCCTCTATAAAATGGGTTTTACTTATTTTCTTCCCCCCTGTCCCTCAACAGCAAAAGACTCTAAGAAATTAGTATTTTCATTTTTCCTTCCAACAGCAATGTAGTTTTCTTCCAATGCAGTTTCCCATAAGAAAATCTGGACAGCCCCACTGCTGACAAGTGAAAAGGCCTAGTTAGCTGGACATTAATTAGATTGGTGCCACCAAGCCTGGCATCCTAGCACGGGGTTGAGGCTGGCAGATCTCATGTGTGACAGCAGCTGGGGAAATTAAAAGTATAATAAGGAATCTGACATGGTAGGGTCAACAACATTCGTGCGTATGTGCATGTGTGTGTATATTCCCATGTGCCAGAATTGGGGCTTGAACTCAGCCTGAACACTGTCCCTTATCTCTTTTTGCTTAAGGCTAGCACTTCTGGCTTTTCGTTGGTTAATTGGAGAATCTCGTGGATTTTCCTGCCTGTCTGGCTTTGAACCACAATCCTCACAGGCTGTTTGAAAAGAGGGTTTTTTGGTTTTTGGTTTGGTTTTTAAACAACAACAACAAAGTTGGGCACCTGTGGCTCACACCTGTCATCCTAACTACTCAGGATGCTGAGATCTGATTATTGTAGTTCAAAGCCAGTCAGTCAGGAAAGTCCATAAGACTCTTATCTCCAGTTAACCACCAGAAAACTGGAAGTGGTGCCGTGGCTCAAGTGGTAGGTAGCCTTGAACAGAGAGGCTAAAAAACAGAGCTCAGGCCACACCAACAAAAAAACAAACAAAAAAAAAAAAAAAAACATCAAGAGTAAGTCAGTCAAGCACCCGTGGTTCATGCCTATCATCCTAACTATTCAGGAAGCTGAAATCTGATGATCAGTTCAAAGCTAGCCCAGGTAGGGTAGCCCATGAGACTCTTATCTCCAATTAACTACCAAAAAAGCTAGAAGTGAAGCTCTGGCTGAAGTGGTAGAGCACTAGCCTTGAGCACAATAACTCAAGGGAAGTGGCCTAGGCCTTGAGTTTGAACCCCAGAACACACACACACACACACACACACACACACACACAAAATGACAGTAAAATCATATTAAAACATCTTTTTATTTGTTAATGTCACATAAGAAATTTAAGCATGTTACGCTATCTTAAAAAACACAACTAATGCATTTATAGAGCACCCCTCCCCTCTCCACCCCCTCCCTTCCTTTCACGAATTAAGAATCTAAGAGAAGTGACCATAAAACAAAGGTTTGCGGAATCCTTCATCCAGAGTGCTTACATGATGATTAGGTTAATATTGCCTTCTTACAAAATTTTTCTTTTCTATTTAAAAAAAATTGTCATCTTGATTGCGTATTACAAAAAAATTCAGTACAAAAATTCAATATGATGAAAAATGCCTCCCTCCCTCACAGCACCGTTTCTAATAGAGCAGAGAAGAATCAAGAGCAGATTGCTATTCTAGATGAGCAATCTCCAAATTATCCCCAGACACAGTGGTTATTTACCCTCCTGACCCATTCTCCTAAGAACTGAGAAGAAAAAAAAAGTCCACATACTTGCATATAAAAAAATAAAAATAAAAAGCCAAAAAAATGCATTTAAAAAAACTGAGGAAACCATGACAAACAGTACAATTAGCTAGTTCAGTGTCGGTAATTCACATCTTGCAACAAGGTGTACGGATATGGTTCTCTTACAAAACTTTCAGTGTGGAAAAGGAAATTAAGGCCATCAGATTCGCAGCTTAAAAATTCACATAAAGGAAATATAAAAATACTCTGTGCTCTGGGAAGGCTCTGCACTGCGTAAGGATTACCATGCTTCTCGGAAGACCGCGGGCTCGCGAGTTCACATAATTGCACAGTTTCGGTTGGAGGCTCTTGGGGATCCCTGGGGTGAAAGAGAAGTAAGTCAGTGACCAGGAACCTCACGCCTCCGCCAGCGGGCCTGCGCGCCACAGAGCTCCACAGCGCGCCACACCCCTCCACAGCGCGCCACAGAGCTCCACAGAGCTCCACAGCGCGCCACAGAGCTCCACACCCCTCCACAGCGCGCCACAGAGCTCCACACCCCTCCACAGAGCTCCACAGCGCGCCACACCCCTCCACAGAGCTCCACACCCCTCCACAGCGCGCCACAGAGCTCCACAGCGCTCTACACCCCTCCACAGAGCTCCACAGCGCGCCACAGAGCTCCACACCCCTCCACAGAGCTCCACACCCCTCCACAGAGCTCCACAGCGCGCCACAGAGCTCCACACCCCTCCACAGCGCGCCACAGAGCTCCACACCCCTCCACAGAGCTCCACAGCGCGCCACACCCCTCCACAGCGCGCCACACCCCTCCACAGCGCGCCACACCCCTCCACAGCGCGCCACACCCCTCCACAGCGCGCCACAGAGCACCACAGAGCTCCACACCCCTCCACAGCGCGCCACAGTGCTCCACACCCCTCCACAGCGCGCCACAGCGCGCCACAGTGCTCCACACCCCTCCACAGCGCGCCACAGAGCTCCACACCCCTCCACAGCGCTCCACACCCCTCCACAGCGCGCCACAGAGCTCCACAGCGCTCTACACCCCTCCACAGCGCGCCACAGAGCTCCACACCCCTCCACAGCGCGCCAGAGCTCCACCGCGCTCCACAGAGCTCGGCTTCCCCGTCCTCCCACCCTCCCTCCCGCTTCTTCCCCAGACAGGGCAGCTGCACGCCAGGCCGCCAGCCCACGCTCCCTGCTCGGGGCGGACTCGCGTTTAAAGCTGATCTGGATTAAGGAACGTGTCTCTCTGCGGCTCCGACGTCATCCGCATGCGCGGAGCGCCACCGTCCCGCAGCCTCCCTGCGGCTCCGACGTCATCCGCACGCGCGGAGCGCCACCGTCCCGCAGCCTCTCTGCGGCTCTGACGTCATCCGCACGTGCGGAGCGCCACCGTCCAGCAGCCTCCCTGCGGCTCTGACGTCATCCGCACGCCATCCGCACGCGCTCCGCGCCACCGTCCCGCAGCCTCGCCCAAGCGCTCGGGCTCCCCTGCGCGCCTCGCGCGCTCCTTCCTGACCCGCCACGTCCGTCCCACGCGGCAGGATCCACTCGCCACGGACCGGGCTAACCCGGAGTCTGCGAAGGCCACCGAAGCCCCTGAATCCCTCGCTCGCTGGATTCACCCGCCAGCCCGGGGCGCCGCCGACGCTGCTGCCTGCCGTACACAGCCGCCGGCCTCACCGCACGCCCGGCTCGCCTTCCCCTCGAGCTCGGTCGCGAGCCTACCTGCTCTCTCCACCTCTGCAGGCCCCCACCGCCCACCCCCCGACTACCGGGCCTGGCGGCATTCTAGACTAAAGGGGTGTCCATCTCCCCCTGGAGCTCACTACAGAGTTGTCAGCCTCACACCTTTCAGCCTCATTTCTAACCCCACCGGGGCAGTGCAGGTGGGACTGACAGACAGACAACGCGGCCCTCGCACTGTAACCATCACTACAGCAGCGCATGGGTGCAGGCCAGTGGTAGAGCACATTCCTAGAATGCAGGACCACCCCTAAACAAACATGGGGACATTTAAAAGCTCGTCCCCAGGCCTTTGCACCCCCTCCCCGCTTGCCCCGCTTCCACTCTGCGCCAGCTGCTACGTGGTCAGCAGCCTGGTCTAACTTACCTACTACTCATCAGGAGCCACACAGCCTGAGCCCTCAGGAATATTCCAGAGGCAGCCACGCTCATGGCTCAAGGCAACTCTGATGAACTTGCTCTGCTGTGTGGTCTGGTCACATCAAAGCATCCAGGCAAGAAAGAAGCCACTGCTTTTGAGCCGAGTTTCGGACGGCTTGTTAATAATGTAGCCACACAGCACCACCACTGCCCAACAATAATGTATAATAATGTAGCCACACAGCACCACTACTGCCCAAACAATCTCCATCACTCCAACTATGGCACACGAACTCTTTCCACACTTGTGCTCCCCAGGCGCCCGCCCCGCCCCCCACCGTGCGCCCTGCCTACACTCCTGTAGACAAGACACTCCTGTAGACAAGCGAGTGCAAAGCATCGTGTGACTTCTTTCTGCTCACGCTTAGTGTGATGTCCAGCAAGGGGAGGGGACGGATTCTGTACTTGCTTCTAGCGAAAGCCTGGTGTAAACCACCCTCCATAACTACACCTCCAAATGCATGAGAAGGTAGCCAGGTGGACGTCCCCGGCATGTGTGACCCTCTGGGAGTGGCCGTCACCCAGGTGAGGCATGAGAGAATGCTGCCTTAGAGTAGAAATGAAGCTAATGAAGCAAAGCGAACTTCGCTCATCAGCCTGAAGATGTGGAGCCAAGTCTTATGAGCACAGGGCACAGGACTGATTAACGCTCAAACTCAAGCCGTTTGAGGGCATAACTGAAGGGCTCATTAGTTATTCATAATTCCAATCCAATTAATTAAAACCAAATTTGGAGTTCTTTTATTTCAAGGGCTCTCAAAAGCCCGAGCATCAGCTGCAATCTATCTTGTAATTAGATATTGATTAGGAACTTAATATAGCCGGGATTTTTTGTTTCATACTGAAACTGAGTATTACCTTCTCCTATCATTTATATGCAACGGCTTGTTCTGATTTAGTGAGCTATAGTGAGCTAAAGTTTTCAAAGTTTTAAAGTACACAATTCAAACGGTATGTTTTGGGGAGGAAGGGGAACTGGGTTTGAACTTAGGCCCTAAGTACGCAAAGAAGGCATTCCACCACTTGAATCCTGTCCTCTATTTTCTGCGTTAGTGATTTTTTTCAACATTTTTTCAAATGTTGCATTTATCAATGACTCCCAAGTGATTGGAGATTACACACGTTACACTGGTTTGTTTGTTGAAGGGCTTAAGTGAAACCAATAGCTGGTCTCTGCCTCCAGGTCAGCTGGGATTATAGGTGTGCTCCACCATATGGCCCATAAGTATTTATAAACAGTATACATGTCCCACCATAACGTAGTATGTACGTTAGAAAATAAATGACGAAAATGAACTATGAATGACAGAAGGGGGTGTGCTAGTATTTTCTACTCACCCCCCTAAAAGTGTAACCTTGAGTATTAATTGGGAAAGATCAGATCTGACTACTGCTCCAGTTCATTAAGTAACAGGGGGAGGGGACCTGCATACAATAATAATCAAAATACCTGCTGGTGGAAATATTCTTCTTCCACAGCCACTGCAGCTGGTTCTTCTTCCTCCTCTTCCTCTTCAGGTATGGTTGTTTTAAAGACTGTACTTCTTTGAGCAACCTCCTAAAACCAAGAAAGCTTACATTCAAAACCACCCCTGAAATCCCAAGGCTGCAGGCGGAGGGCCTACAGTGCTTAACAAACAGCATTCCTCCTGGATTAGGGACTTCTTTTTAAGCCAGTTCTGCAGCTACAGAACAAGAACTTTTGCATAATTAGCAGCACTTCCCAGACCTTAAATTTTCCCTGCAGGGGAGCTGCTAGTCTCCAATTTGAAATGCCCACTGGGAAGTTTCCAATGCTTTTCTCCCACTGTTTCTGAAGAATTCTTTCTGTACGAACAATTTCTGCACACTAAATTCTTTATACAACTCAACATGATTTTTGGCCTAAAGATCTTAGCTCCAAGCAGAGAGAAGGGGCGACCCAAATGCTGAATGGAAGGAAGCTGGAGGCCAGCTGTTGCAATCTGGGGGACGCAGAGGCAGGACCCGAGGAGCAAGCTGGGAAGGACAGCTCCTTTCATTACTTCCGAGGGGCCGCCTGGCAAAGTGGATTAGCACTAATTAGGAGCAGCACACGTGCTCTGCACACAAACGATCGCTGCCACCCACTGGGGGAGACACACAGCACAGCCTCATGTTACTTCTGAAGGCTGGAACACAGATGGCTCTGCTGTACTGACACGAACAGGCTGGCCTGCACATGCGCCGAGAGGAGATGTGTTCTACAGCGTGCTGCAGGGCTTCCCGGTTCTTTCCCACACCCCCCAAAGGCCGCTCGAGGTGGATCACTCCACGGCAATTGAACGGCCCAGCAAGCTTAAAATGAAAGAGGAAGACATCCAAGACACCGGACCATAGAAATGAAGCTCAATGTGAAGTGTGTCCAAGGACAGATGCCGCAAGTACAGATCTAGTAATGGTTTGGGGTAGGGCAGGACTGGGGCTTGAACTCAGGGTCTGGAGCTCAGGGAGTTAGTGATCCACCCTCGAGTCATGCCTTCAACCTGGCTTTCTGGTGGGTAACTGGAAGGATACATTTTTGCAGACGTTTTTGCCCAGTCTGCGTTCCAATCACATTCCTCCCTGTCTCAGCCTCGTGAGTAGCTAGGCTTAACAGGCTGAGATTCTGGCACCTGGCCTGCAGAGGTCGACTGAGCGGGAGGGACGCATGTACATGAAGTTTCTCCCACCAGCAACTGCGATTCTGTGAAATTAGTCCATCTTTATACATGTGGATCAGTTCCCAAGCCTGCTTCAACCTAATTTTTTGTTGCCAGTCTCAGGGCTTGAGCACTGTCCCTGAGCTGCTTTTTTGCTCAAGGTTAGCACTCTACCACCTGAGCCACCGCACCACCTCTGACTTTTTCTGTATATGGTGCTGAGCAATGGAACCCAAAGTTTCATGCATGCCAAGCAAGCACTCTACCTACTAAGCCACCTTCCCAGCCATTAACCTAATTTTTTTTTAGGGGGGGAGCGTCCGATTGTGGACCTCAACTCTGGGCCTGGGCGCTGTCCCTCAGCTCTTGAGCTCAAGGCTCTCGCTCTACCACTTGAACCACAGAACCACTTCCGGCTTTTTTTTCTGCTTATGTGGTGCTGAAGAATCGAACCCAGGGCCTCATGCATGCAAAGCAAGCACTCTACCACTGAGCCACCTTCCCAGCCCTAACCTAATTTTTTAAAAGCATGATTGCCATCATCAATTCAATGGACCAATTCTTTGAACCAAGGTATCAACAGAAACAAGAATCTCACAAAGCTCTGGCTACACACCGCTTCACTTGACTCCCTCCAGCTGAGAATGAAGAGCAGCAAACTCTTGGGTGGTCACACTCAGCCCCAGCGGCTAATGGCAAAGCCCAGACATGTGTGCGTGCTGGCTTACTGTGTGCAAGTCTCCACACTTCCTCATCCAGTGACACAGCCTCAAGTCCATCTACACTCAGAAAATCTACACTCAGAAAACTAAGCATTTGTATGAGGCTACAAATCAAAGCCAGCTTTTGGTCGATGGTAGAGTCAGTTGTCTGTGTATTACACACGACATCTCTATATACACAAGTAATCACTTGCATATTGTAGTTTCAGTTATCTCTCCATTCTGGAAAGCATGGAGAAATGCTTTGTTTTCATTTCTCACAGAAAAACACTCTTGATAGGATTCTCTCTCCTATACTAGGACCATTACTTCAATGCCAGTTCAATTATGTTTTTGTCTCTTTTGGTAATTTTTTTAGGTCTTAATTGTGTTTTCTAAAACGTCCAGTACCACAACAAGAAGACAAAAATCTATTTTAAAAAAAATTAAAGTTGACTAGCTCTGCTTCAAGGCATACATCCTGCCAAACAGTAGTTACTGCGTCGCAGTATCCTCCAGGGAAGATGGGCAGAGGTAGGGCCGCGGCCCAGGGCTCACAGGAAGCCCAGGTCATCACCCGGACCTCCAACAGGGCTTGAGGAACAAGGCAAATCATCACCTCTAACCCTATTTTTGGAGAAATTGTGCTAGTTTGGGCCAGCAGGGGGCGCTACCAGCAAAGGCACTGCAACTGACTAGCACTTGAGCATCCCGTCAGCCACCGGTGGGCAGGATTCCCCAGGCAGGAAGTGAGACCAGGGCTTCAGCGGGCATTCTGTGAACTGCTGCCAGCTTGTAAACTGCACCCACCTTCAAAACCTATCGTGTTCGGAGGTGAACTTCCCCAGATAGACCCCAAAATCGCAGGCAACTGTAGTGCAATGTACAATGACAGTTCAATGCCCTATCACTTCCAGCCGGAGACCAGGGCAGACAGGGAGCACCCTGCTTCCTTCTGCAGAGCCATCAGAACACCAGACATCTGCAGCCACGCACGGGAAGAGCAAGAGGGCCAGGAACAGGGCTTCCTCTGCAAACGCCTCCTATCCATACAGAAGGTCAGCATTTACCTGAACTAACGTGAAGATCCAGATCTGACTTTCCAAAAATTGCATCCCTCAGAAAGCATTCGGGGAATGCGGGATGAAGAATGGGCTCTGCTGGCACGGCCAGCACTGCGCAGGCGACCGACAAGCACGCGAGGAAGGATGCAAGACACAGGCGCGCCTTTCCCTGCTGGCATGGCAGCACTGCGCCTTCCCCACACTCCCCTCTGCTTTCCAGCACGCCCCCCTTTCCTCCTGCTTCATTGGCCACACCTTCTACTGTCTGCCTCCCACCTTCCTGGCTCTTAGAGATAGCAGTATTTCCTAGGACTTGAACCACCCTACCTCACCACGATGAACACCATGCTTCACATTTCACTCTGATCTTGGGTAAGAAAGAAGCCATTCTCAGACACTAAGCTTTCAGGGGAAGCGGACAATACGACAGGACTGGCAGGACAGCCATACCTCTCCCTGAGAATTCTTCAGTATGACTCTCACGTCTTCACCAGTGCCCCACGAGTTCTGGTTCTTCCAGATGAGGTCGGTGGGCGGGCTGGCGGAGACTCCAGCGTTGGCGGCCCAAATCTGGAAGAGAGAGAGGCTATCAGTCCACAGACCCAGCCCCCACACGCCAAGCTCAGCAACACTGTGACCTGAACTCCCGCACACCTGCCACCAGCGGTCACAGTAACCGCCTTCCGCATGGAGCCGGTGCCTTCTTTGGCTTTCTATCAAAATTTAGGTAACTTCTAGTTCAGTGAATCTACTGATTCAGGAAAAGCTAAGTGGTAGCTTACACCAGTGATCCTGGCTACTCAGGAGGCTGAGATCTGAGGGTCATGGTTCAAAGCCAGCCTGGGCAGACACTGCATAAGACTTATTTCCAATTAACCAGCACAATGCCAGGAGCAGAAGTGTGGCTCAAATGGCAGAGCTAGCCTTGAACAAAAAGGTCAAGCGAGAATGAGAGGCCCCGAGGCCAAGCCCTAGTTCATTCACTGGTGAACATGGCTCTAAAACGTGAGCTACTAATGAAGTGCCAAGTCAACAAAAAGAACTCAAAGATCAACTCTCTGACCACTCTCAGTAAGAAAACTTTTAAAAACTTTGAACAGTACTTGTGTTGTAATGCCCTCCTGTCGTCAAAGGTATGCCCATCTTAAAGATGCTCTTCCCTACAGCAACTGTTTGGAGAGTCTCACTAAGTGACCAGGCTGATCCTAGAACTTAAGATTCTCCTGCCTCCGCTTCCCAAGTATGGTCAGCACCAACGCGCAGCCGCAAACCCAGCCCGACCGTTTTTGCTGAAATATTAATCGGTTACTTAACACAAATGACGTGAAATTCAGTGATAACAAATTCACTTACCGTAACAGTCTGGCCAGCTTTTAGCACATATCTTGAGGTATATTTGTAACTGACTGATGTGTCTCCTATTTTTCTGATCATCTCCCAGCCTCCCATTGGTTGATCCTATTCACAAAACAAATGGTAACAAAGTTACTGTGAATATATAGAAAATCAGGAAATAATCCAATACCTATATCCTTTACAGTCCTTTTTTATTTTTTTTTGGGGGGGTGGGGTATTTGCGAGTCACAGGGCTTGCATAGGGCTTGGGTGCTGTCCCTGAGCTTTTGTGCTCAAGGTTAGCACTCTGCCACACTTCCACCTTTTCTTTTTTTGCCAGTCCTGGGGCTTGAACTCAGGGTGTGGGCACTGTCCCTGAGCTTCTTTTGCTCAAGGCCAGCACTCTACCACTTGAGCCACAGTGCCACTTCAGCTTTTTCTGTGTATGTGGTACTGAGGAATCGAACCCAGGGCTTCATGCATGCTAGGCAAGCACTCTACCACTGAGCCACCTTCCCAGCCCACTTCCAGCTTTTTAGCAGGTAAACACAGGTAAGAGTCTCACAGATTTCCTATGAACCACAATGCTCAGGTCTCAGCCTCCTGAGCAGCTAGGGTTACAGGCGTGAGCCACCAACACTGGGTTTCGTTCTGAGCTTTTAACCCTGTGACCAAGGGCTCGCAGGGCCTAGTCTCTCTAGGATCAGAACTGTGGCGCTTATTCAATTATTCCAATGGTTTATCCATCCTCGCGCAGATGGTTAGCGACTGCCGAGTCAGGTCCACCACGCCTGGCAAAGCCTGCACATGGCTTCACAGTGACACAACACACCGCACCCCGGCTTGCTCCCCTCCCCCCAGCACCCCACTACGCCCACCCTGCACCCCAGACTCACTCCCCTCCCTCCCTCCCTCTGGAACCCCACTGCACCTGCACCGCATCCCAGACCTGCTCCCCTCCCTCCAGCACCCCACCATACCTACACTGTACCCTAGACTTGCTCCCCTCCCTCCAGCACCCCACTACACTTACATGACACAGCCAGGAGCTCCTCAAGGCCTAGCTTTAAACTTTGGAAGTCGTGCTATTTCTGAGGTGAATCAAATCACTATCATTTGTTCGGTCATTTAGCTAGAGAGGAAAATGCTCTCCAACCTATCTCAGTCCAGGCTCATTGTGCTTTCATAAAGCTTCTCAACAGCTGTGGAAAAACAGCCACCATCGCCCCCATGCTAGCAGCCTGGCACAAATCTGAGGGACGATAGTACGTGGTCCTCTGTAGTCACCGTGACAAAATGCCCCGGGCTCTGTATAAAGTTTAATGAAGGAAGCTTTAGACAGCCCATCGCCTTTCCCTCAGCCTATTTGAATTTGGACTTATTCATAAATTTAGGGGAAAATCAGAAGGGAAACCTTTATTCCCAGAAGATGCATGAACTGCAATAAAAGATAAGGAGCTATTGCGATTGCACCATGGCCTGGCAATGCGCCAGGGCTGGCTTGGGAGGG